CCTTTGTCCGGTAGCGTTGCCCTGGATGCGCCTCTCCTTTGGTCTTGACCGGGTTCAGCGGGCCTTCGCCTCACCTGATTGCGAGTGGCACTCCACCCTTCCCCTTGGGAATTTTGCCCTTGACTTTCTAGGTGTTGTCTGAATATTTCCCTATGTCCCCCTTGTCTCTCTCCATTCCTCCGTCTTCCTTCCTTCGATTGTCTGAACTGAGGACAGTTGTCCTAAGTGTGGAAGTACCATCGACAACTGCGGCACCAGTCTGTGTACGGTGTTACGATTTCCACTTTCCAACGCTCCCCCTCCGGTGACTGTATTACCAGATAGTCGTCGATCCTTGCTCTGGATTCTGGCGGCGTGTCTATTTTGACATTCATTAGCTTTGGCCGTTCCTTATCGAACTCCGGAGTGTGCATTGTTTGAATCTCCCCGAACAGACTCACCACTGCGCTACCTAGGAAGTAGTAGGCGTCTAGCGGTACTCTCAGCGCCGTTATCCAGAACCTTGTTTCCGTTTCCTGCATTCTGAGTACTTGCATCTTATGTTTTGGGAGTCTTGGTTTGAACGAAACTAAGTACTCTTTGTTGCCCTCTATTTTGATCTTGAGCTCCTTCTGTTGTATGAGTCAGGTGGCGATCTCCTTGGACTTGGCCACGTAGGATGCAACATTCTGACCCTCGAACTTGACTCTTCCCCTCCTTGTTTCCGGTAGAAATAGTCTCTTTGTGGTCCACCCATCCTCGTATGCTCTAATTAAGTCTTCCTTTACCATCCGTGATAAGTTTCTTGCTTCTCCCTGGAAAATTACCATGACTGATCGCTCTTTCAGCCATTCTTCTTTTACTTTGTTCACTGCTTCGTTCACCACGAAGCGCCTACCCTCCTCATCCTCTACTACTGTGCCGAGGTTTTCCTCATAGGGGCACACACCTTCGCCGTAACATCTTTCGAAATAATTTCTAACCTTGTCTACTTCTTCCTTGCTTGGGTTTGAACTTGAGGGTACTGCCTCTCTACCGTCCGACTCCTCCATTCTGGTACCTTGTCTGTTTTCCATCTTAGTCTCTCACTCGCTCTAACTGTTCCTCCCTCTCTCTCTCTCTCTCTCTCTCTCTCTCTCTCTCTCTCTCTCTCTCTCTCTCTCTCTCTCTCTCTCTCTCTCTCTCTCTCACTCTCTCTCTCCCGCTCT